CTGTATAACAGGAGGTACTAGTACTTGTTGTTGTTGTAGATAATATACTAACATTTAATAACATCCAAGAAGGTCACAGTTACACAGTGACGTACATCACATAAGTCCGTGAAATTTCATAGGCCTACCGTAGGTAAACATCGGTAAACATAGAAAGAGCAATAATAGTAAAACTCGAGCGTCACGACATTGCGGAGTGTCTGCTCTTGTTCCTCGTATCGTACTCACTCGAGTCAATCCGAGATGGCCCGAGTGAAGTTTCATGCAAATGTTTCGTACGGAAAAAAAAATCGCGGCCCGCCAGCAGCGTGGCGCGTCATAGTATGGAACGCCGTTTTTGCCAAAATATGTGTAGATTGACTAGATAATGGTTATATCGAATTATTTTCTGTTTAGGATTCTACATGTACGTTGAGACAAGTGTTTACCCACGAATTGAAGGCCACAAGGCTAGGCTAATATCACCAGTATGGACAGCCACGAAATTCGAACAGTGTATTGAATTTTGGTATCATATGTATGGATCTGATGTAGGAGCGTTGAGTTTATACATTCGGCCCGTGGGCAGTACATTGCCTGCCTCTCCGGCAGTAAGACTTGTCGGGCATCACACGAATATTTGGCTCCGAGCTACGTATGTCATGAACTTGACTGGAAGTTTTGAGGTACTTTGTATATTCACATTTATATCTGTATTTTATTTGGTTTTGCAATAGACCTTTCCAGAGTGTCAATCAAACTTATCAGAACAGCGCTAGGGATACGCGCGCGTCTCACAAACGCACATATTCGCGTATCTTTTAACCTTTTAACACTGTCGTCTTGTGGGACCTTAGCAGCTATATCCAAGGTCTATTGTCTGGTGCCATTTAGTATACTTTTATTTTATATTGAATATATGTACTACTTAGGCCTATATTTCATTTGGGTAAACTATTTTTTAATTAATTATTACAATAAATATGACTCTGATTCATATTGTTTTAGAGTTATTATTTTCATTTTCTCTTTTTAATTAATTTCCATGCAACAATATTTTTATATTTTTATCTATTATCAGCTTGTTTTTGAGGCATTTCGTGGATCAGGTATTTATGGGGATATTGCCATCGATGACGTACTTATCCATGATGCTCCGTGTGCAAACAGTAAGTTTCGTGTACACATTATAAAGGTTTGTGTGTAAATAAAATTAAGTTCCACTTTTATTGTCCATGCCAACATGGCATTTGGATTGATATAATTAATGATGTTTACAGAGACGAAGGAACTGATTGCTGAACCTTTAGAATTCCACAAAGCCGACTGCAACTTTGAATATGAAGATTTGTGTAACTATACACAGGACATATACGATGACTTCGACTGGATACGCAAACAAGGCCCAACGACATCTAGGCAGACGGGTCCTGAAACTGATCACACGTACAGAAACGAATTTGGTAAGCGTCATTTCACGTAAAGTACCATATGTTTTGTCACTGTTTCTAGAGTTTGGAAAAGATTGAATTCTCTTGACTAACACTTTGAGAATGTAGGCGTAGGGCTTACCTGTTTTTATTGACAGGGGGATAAAAATAATATTAAAATATAAGAAACGTTGTTATTAGGTGTATACTGTACTGTTCTTTAGGAATGTCATCGCATTTTAATCACGTACATTCAAGACACAATAATTTGGCGAGCATGTATGATATTTGTTTATATTTACATGCACCAAAAGGCGTCGATATAGTCTGTTATGAATATGTTATGCGATAAAGGTCATAAAATATGCGCCTTATAAGTCTACCATTATTATTATGTTTGCATAGGGAAATTTGTATGTATGGTAAGTACAATAATGACGTGAAGAACACGTACCAGTAGTAATTTAAGTTATGAGAAAACTAGTTTTTGATTTAACGCTCTTAGGTCACTACATGTATATTGAGGCATCTCAGAGAAGAGCGGGTATGACTGCAAGGCTTATGACGCCGATCCTCACAAACGAAAACACTAACACGTGTGTCTTTTTCTACTACCATATGTACGGGCAAAGGATTGACTTTTTGAAAGTTTATAAAAAAGATTTCGGTGGTGGTCTGCCAGTGGATCCACTTTTTGTGCGCCATGGTAACCAAGGAAATATATGGAAGTCTCAGAAAGTTGATATTGAAGGACAAACAGAATATTTTCAGGTGAATTTGTGTCTGGTAGGCCTGGTGGTGGAACTAGGACGTGGTGAAGTTGACGGTGTTGATGTGTAGTTCTCGTCTTAACATTATTTGTATTGTCCCAGTGATCGCTTCAGAATGTGCTCATAAAGGAGGGGGCTGTAACGAAAGCTTTTGATATGAGTCAGGAGATGCTAATTTTCCACGGCGTGGTGCGGTCAGGTGGGAGAACCTTCCAGTAGCTTGGGCAATGTAGTATTATTTGAGCGACTAAGACCCAGGCTTATCCACTGCTAATAAGCTTACAATTAAGTTTCAGTAGGCCTATCAAAAATTTGACAAAAGTAAGGTTACGCATCCATGCCCAAAATGACTAATAAATTTCGAAATTTAATAGCAAATATTAAAGAGGTATCACACTTATTCAACCATTATTGAGTGGCCTGTTTTGATTGTACATTGTTGTGCAGGTTGGTCTGGCTTAACCCTAACTCTAGGTCTGGTGCTCTGGTCTACAATTTTCAGTTAGTCTCAAATGTTCTTGTCTCGTTTTTTCAATCTATCATCTATCTATCTGCATTCAATAAACTATACGTACTTATACTGTAAGGCATATAATTCAGTGGCTACGGATGCTGCTGCTGCTACTTCTACCACTAAAACACAGAATAATAAATCTATTTTTGGAAATTATTATGTCCTTTTGTAAATTAGTATTGATTATTTATTTTTATAGATTGTATTTGAAGGCTCAGTTGTTGGTAATATATATGGAGACATAGCTATCGACGATATTGTATTTCACAATACAAGTTGTGACAAAGGTATGGTATTGGCAATGGCATTTTGTACCCTGTCCAATTCCACACATACCAACGCAGAGACAGCTGTATAACAGGAGGTACTTGTTGTTGTTGTAGATAATATACTAACATTTAATAACATCCAAGAAGGTCACAGTTACACAGTGACGTACATCACATAAGTCCGTGAAATTTCATAGGCCTACCGTAGGTAAACCATATTAAAGAGTGGGTTTGCATGTATGCTCCAAGTGAAATAAAATGTAAAAACAATGACAAAATGGTGTACAATCATTGAAAGTTGACATGCGGATCGGTGGATAAACGTACGATGATGGTATGCGACAATTGTCACATTATATAAAATATATATAATTTATATATTATACAGTGAAAGTACTCTCTGTCTTTAATTCGACAACTGACTGTAACTTCGACGACAACCGCAACAACGCATCTCTATGTGGTTTCATACAGTCGACAAGTGATGACTTTGATTGGCAGTTGCGTAATGGTTCGACCGACTCCACAGCAACGGGACCGTCTGCAGATCACACCCACGGTGATACCAAAGGTGCGTTTGTACCAATCAATTATTAATGCTACAAATTATCAAGTCAATTCTTATAGATTCTTCGCTGAATGGTATATACGCTTAAAGAGGTGTAACATGACAGAAGATTGTCTACATTCGCATGCCTGTGAGATGTTAAATCTCGCACAGAATTAAGAGCAGAGGGTGTTCTTTATTGGCTTATTTTAAATCAGTATTCTGTATTTTGCATACGGTTGGCGCCAATTTGTCGGGGAGAAAGCCTTTGAAACCCCTAAATTATAGTTTACGGGGGCTTCGCCCACCTGGACCAGTTCCCATAGATACATTGAGCGATGCTCGACGACGCCCACATGCAGCTCTCTTATAATGAACATTCTTCATCTACAGTTCAGCCTGCTACAGTGGCCTACACTACTAGAATTGGTATTGTGAACCAGTCATTTCGAACCAAACTCGCCACAAACCAATTATAGGCCCAAAATCTACGACCCCCAACAAATCATATCAAAATCCAAGGAGGTAAAATCCAACTCCGACCAAAATTCAACGCGGCCCAACGAATTTTTATGTGGTTTCTCATGTAATACCAAATTGTATTTCATGTTTATGTAAATTTTTATAAGCATCGGTTGTGGTCTCACGCCTGCAAATTTGTCTAACTTGGAATTCTGGTAGGGGACATTGGCCACCGCTGTCGGGGTCATCAAACCCCTCGTCCGGAACATCCTGGCGCCACCCCGTATAGGCCTACTGTAAATCTATCTGGGTTTGTTTACCATCATTCTAGGGCAGTATCTTTACATCGAAGCATCAAATCCACGCCGTCCAAATGAACGAGCCAAAATAGTGTCCCCGCTCATCGAGCCCGCTGACCACTTGCTGTGTTTCAAGTTTTGGTACCACATGAAGGGGGAGCACGTGGGACGGTTGAATGTGTACCGAAGATTAGAGGGATCGATGAGGAGTGAATGGTTGTGGACGATCAATGGTGACCAGAGCGACCGATGGATTGAAGCTATGCTTCCGATTAACTACTATAGCAATAGAGACGACTTTATCGAGACAAATATGAGGGTAATTAATAATATTAATAATAATGCTGAAAATACTTTTTTGACTAGGTAATTTGTAAAATTAAACCTCATTGGTTTGTTTTTTCCAACTAATCAATTCATAAATATGACTCGTCAGCTTTATACCTTTGGTGTACATATACTTTGTGATGCGATAAGGTAATAATACCTTATTTATAAAATTACAATTCCAATAGCAACGGAGATTATTTTAAAATCATAGATCAGAGTAACGGTAATCAACTAAAAATCAAAGAGGCCCTACACATTAAATGGAATCCCTCACTGAACAAAAAAGTTCAGCATTATAATGTCACCCTTTATCTATAATAGAAGAGTCCGCAAAAGTATGAATAGCCTACTCCTTACGTCAATACACATGCATTCGTTCGTTTGGATACATTATTCATGATTTGGGTTACAACATGTTAGTAAGGATGAATGTAGAAGACTGGAAAAACTTCTCAAAAAATTAAGAAAAGCTGAAGCTAGTCTCAATTTCTTGAACCATCATCATTATTATTAGTAGTAGTATTGTTAACATTATTATTATTATTGTTGTTATTATTATTATTATTATTAATAATAATATTAGTATCTGATCTCTGCATATGCCTAAACACCTAAACACTAGTTACTCTTTTTTCATAAATCGGTATGGTCACATATACTTATTCTTAACTAAATTACTTTAAAATTACATGTATATACCTGGCGAACATTGCTTGTTTTTTTTATATTTTTGATTCAGTAACTTACTAAAATAGTTTCTTGTAATTTGTTCACCTTTTGGTCTTCATGGTTTTATTTTTTTTTAAAACTCTGTTAAGGTGGTTATATATTAAAGTTATGTAGTTCACCTGCAGAACTTATTATAGCCTCCTTCCATGCAACTATTATTATTATTATAATTATGTTGTATTGAAAATAAATTGAACTTTGATTAGTATAATTATTATTATTTCCTAATCAACTTTCTAATAGTAGTTTCGATGAATTCATTTTATAAAAATTCCAAAATTATTAAGATAATTTTGGAAGGTGTTATAGGGACTGGACATCTAGGAGACATTGCAATAGATGACATCAAGCTGGAGTCTCACTACTGCTTTCCGTCAGACACCACAGTAGTAACATTGTTAGCCTGTGACTTTGAGGCTGGTATAACAAAATGTGGGTTCTCTCAGGACTTAAGTGATGTATTCGACTGGAAGACTTTTAATATTTCAGATGAAAGTCAGCCCGGTTTTGTAAATTACGCGATAGCCATTGGACGTAAGTCACGTGATACTTACTTCAAACACTTATTCGATTAGATGAGGCTTGCATTTTTCGATGATGAGGATGAAGGCGAGGATGATGATTAAAGTTTCATTAAGGACTAAACTAACGTGTGCAAAAATGAACGTTTTTTTTATCATCATTTAGTGTGGAGTATTTTCTTTCTGGTTTATATGTGATTTAAATAACTTTACTTTAAATTATCGGAAGTCTGAGGTGAAGAAAACGTTTATATACAGGCCTATGTATTTTTCTTATAAAATGTAGTATTAGCATTTTTTTTAAATGAGCCATTTATAAGAAAAACGTTCAGTACTGTATACAGAAATTCTTTAAACCTAATTTTGAAACAGCAAGAAGAGTCAGTACGAATAACATCAGACAACTTAAATAAATTTAAAGCAACATAACAATCCAAGTATCTCATAACATCTTTTATTTTCCTTCTGAAAATGCAGCTGCCTCATAGGATGAACTTTTTTACAAACAAAAACAAAAATAACAAAAGTAATAATAAAAAACAACCATTTTTTCAAGTCTGAATAAAGCGTCAAAAAGGCACAGTTATTAATTTTTTCATGATCATTTTCTAGGTCAAAACAATTTTGCCTACCTCAATATGGCTGGGAGAAAGAAAGGTGATTTAGCCACTCTTGCTACCATGACAACCACATCTAACGGTACACAACGGTGCCTATCTTTCAAATATCTTATGCAAGGAGATGTACAGCAACAACTTAACGTCTATTCTTTGGACTCCAGCGAAGCTCTCGGTTTAATAGGAGTCATGCCGAACAAAAGAACCAGCGAATGGAAAAAGTGCCAGTTCGAATTACCAGTTGACCAAGACATGTCAAAGGTTAGTGTTAATTTGCTGAAACAAATTAATATTTCGTGATGTTTAAAGACCCTCTAAATTCAAATACTACGCCCTATTCAAGTTTTACGAATCTTGGATGGAGGCTTTGTGATAATGGTGTCAAATTGCTACAGTAGGCCTATCATGCAAACTTCAAGTTCAAATAATTTTCAGGAACGAAAAATAACGTGATGATCTCTTCCAAGTGTAGCCAAAAACAAAAGTTAGCTCTCAATGCCCATTTCGTTCATTTAGTTCGTTCATTTCGTTTTAAGGTATACTGTATTCGGCATCGTCAGTGAATTGAAACGCTCCATCCATACACCTTAGTGGTGTATCAGTAGGCCAATGCGCGATAAAGATGTTATCTAATAATTGACAAATCGAACACAAATTTATTGTTAATTCCATTTGATCGTATCATTGCAGATTTTGTTTGAAGGAGTCGTCGGATTTGAGCCAAAGGGCTTCATTGCACTGGATGACGTCACTATTAACATTGGTGGCTGCATAATAGGTAATTACTGCCAAATAATTAATTTCAAGGTTTTTAGTCAACTTAAGTCATTATTATACAGGTCTCCCTCTAATTAAAGACCACCTTTGGGACCAGGGTGTCCATGGTCTTTAGCAGCTTTGGTCTCCAAGTAGAAGATAAGACATTTGTTAATTTGAGACTACAGAAAAGTGGTCTTCTAATTGGAGGTTGTCTTTGCTTGGATGGGTCTTTAATTAGGAGACCTGTATTTGGTGTTGATAATTATGGTTATTACTGATAAATAATGATGTTTATGATTATTACAATATTGTGATTATAATCATTCACAGTGGCAGATAGGCACTTTGACTTGTGAGCTCAGCGCCCCAATTCAACTTTTCTTTTAATTACAGACACAAAACTATATTTTGACACGAGTCTTTATCACAAACATGTTTACTAACTGTAATTTTACCCATATTAACAGCTACGACCTTGCCAGACAACAATGTGCCTTCTAAGCCCACCGTACTCGGGAATGACGGGATCGGAGTTGCTGCGAAACTATTCATATCTTTTACAATTATACTTATATTTCTGATACTACTGGCTGTTGGCGTCATGGGGATCCGTCGAAAATACATCAAGAGAGCGATGCAGACAGATATAAGAGAAAACCAAGCTAACATCCATTTCACCAAAGATCAAAATGTATCGAGTGATTTAGCTGTTGACAACCCTCACTATGAGGTAACTCGTCTAGATACTGCATAGACAAGTCTGCCTATTTTTTTTTATCGATCTATTTTGCATTCGCATACAAAAAACATTATATTAATACCTTGAAATGAAAAAAAGCTTGCAGTGTATCACCCTACAACATCCATGACTTTCAACCCAAAGACTTTTCAAACTTAATAATGGCACTATAGTCTTGACATTATATCCACTTTATTGCCTATACCAGTGCATAGGCTTTAGTATGAATGTTGGAATAACCTGAACAAAGGTACCGTAATACTGGCAGTGACAGGAAGATACAGTATAAATTACTCCCTGCTGACTACTGTACATTTCTTCTTTTTGTACATATTTTTGGTATACAGTATTATCCCATTGAAAATGTGGTAAAAACAAAGTCGTTTAAAAAATACAATATGCAATTGACTTTTTTTTTTATATATAAAATTTATTATACGTATATTTCAGAAGTATGCTCTCTTCTGCAGCATATAATGTGCATCAGCATTACACAACTTTTATGGGTTACCCTGGTCCTCTGCTGTATCTTTTTGGAAAAGATGTCAATTTTAACGTTTGTAAAGTTTTTAAATGTCTCCTTACTTATTGCATTGTATTTTTTCTTTCTCCACCAAATAAACAATTTTAAAAATTAAGTTGCAGTGACTGTATTTTCAGACCATGATCAAAAACAGATACTGGTTTTTATACAAATATTCGTGTGAATTTATGATAATGGTGTTTATATGAGCTAATTATAATCTACCTTTGGTATTAAAACATGCATAACTATAAAAAAATGTTGTCTATTTTCATATTTAGAAACACTTTTCATATATGACAACTGAACATAATACAATATACTCTTCAGTTTATACCATCAAATGTCTAACATATATTGATCAACAATACAGCTTTTATTATCCTGTACCTGTATTTAAGCAACCCATATTTTACACTCAAGACAAATTATTAGGTGCCATGGATTTTTGTATTTACTACGGATATTTAAAGACTTGGTTACTGAAATGCTTTTACTAACTTGAGAAGCCAGTCTTATAAAAAGAAAGGGTCTTCTCCGAACCAATGCAGGGCCATGCAGTCGTTGTTCCATGCCACACAACACAGCCAACACCATTCAAATTTACAAGTGGCTCTTGGGCATTGCATATGCATACAACCACCTGTAAGAAAATACAACAAAAATAGTAACCATACAGTATATAAAGTCTGGAGCCAATACCTGTTTGTGTGCAGTAGTTAAATGGTGGCTAGATCAGTGAAGTAGTGTGTACTCAGATCCTTGAAGCAAGACCGGAATATATATATACCCCCTTACCCTCCAAGGAAGTAGAGATATACGATATATAAGATAAAATATGAATCCAGCGACTATGGAACTATAAATAAGGCCGAATAGCCTTGCAAATTGATGAGCAGTGGCAGCGCTACGGGGACATGGGTTTGGGGGAATTTCCCCCAGAAAATTTTCTTTTTCGCCTGCCCCACCCACCAAAAAAGAAGAAAAATCATTGGGGAGAAAAAATATGTATTTTCTAAATATTAGTAGACCATCTACATTATAAAATTGGTTAAATAAGCGATTTACGCAACGGAATGAATCTAGGATGCATTTCCTTGCTTGTGACTGTCCTGCATTCTCTGTACAACAATTATTTGGGCCAATCCCATGTGCTTATGACTGACTGTACATGATGTCACAATGTTTCAGATTTTACTGTCTATTGTATTGTATTCAGGGGCGGCACTAGCCGGGGTCTAGGGGGGGGGAAGGACCCCCTTGCACCACCTATCGTGGAATTTCCAGCTCCAAACCTCGAGCACCAAAACTACAATTCAAGCTATCAAAATTTCTAAGCTGTCAAAATCTCAGGGATTAAAAACTTTTTAGTGCGAGCAGTGCTACCATATATTTGAGGTGTTGTATACTATTGCGATCGAATGGGTTGCAGTGGTGGACCAGCTCTTCTCTAATTTCACAACAACTTTGTTTCTTTCACAATATGCACAACTCATTATGCATTCTTACAGTACAGTAGAAGTGCTCATAAACTATTCTGTCAATAGAGTGTGCTAGATTATTTTTGTAGACAACGCCATCATTGTACCATAGACCCTTCTGAAGTGTCAATCAAATTTAACAAATGACCAATCACAACAGAGCTAGGAATATGCACATGTATCACAAACACAGGTGCTATCCCACAAATGCACACGTTTGTGTATGTTTTTACACTGTTGTTTTGTGTGACCTTAGTGAAAAAACCAAGGGGTGAGGCTTAGAGAAAGGTACATTGAAAGCTACCTACTCTCTGCTACAGGAAGAGAAGCGAGCCTTGGTCTCATATCCCTTGGCAGCTCAATTACACCATAGGAGAACTGAAAATACAGTAGACTATCAAATTGTATTTTACATGCCCAAATATGGTCATGATGACATCATCATTGACTATATATGGGCATACAACAGCTCCTTGTCAAAGGCAATTTGATAGTGTGGACAGAGCTTGTGTCTTGACCTACCACTTTTCTCAACTGGAGAATTGCAATTTGGACAAGGTTTTGTAGTATTCTGAATGGTCATTCTGGAAGCTTGATCCCATCTTGCCCTTTCAACCCTGGCCAAGTCAACCTGGTAGCCAGTCGATCCATGTGCAAATTCAGTTAGCGTGTTTGTACAATCTCCATCGTGGTAAGACAATTTGCAGGTACGACAAAAGACAAACTAAAATATATAGCATGATATGTTAGAAGCAGTTATCTTATTTTATTTATTTTAACCATATTTAATGAGGGTGATCCATCCAGCAGAAGCTGATAATTTGGGACCTTCAAAATATAACAAAACAAATTACAGGATACATTTTAACTACAAATTTAAATCAGAATTAGAATAGAAAATAAAACATTAATACAAACATTACTACGTAAAATAAATATAACTAAAATATAATATGCAGATTATTGCAAAAGCCAATAATTTAAATGCATGCAAAATTAGGAATAAAAATAGGAATTCTTACATTATAATTATTAAAATGTGATATTAAATGTGTATAAACATACTACCAATCAATTCAACCCCTGATCCAATTAGGGACAATTAAAAACAAAATAATACTAGAACATTTTGGAAATGCTGATCCTCGTCATATCCTGAAAAAGCATCTTTCAGTGGCCCCGTATAGAGCATAAACAGAGGTAATCTTACCCCACACCCAATGTCTCCATGTTGCAGGCATTCAAGCCTTTGGGCATCCTCATCCGCAAATATTGCAGTTCCACAACCTGGGGCTGGACAGAGTACGCCACCATTCTGCAGTACACATTCTTCAGTAGCAAATGATTGGTATTTATTGTACTAAATAAATGAATAAAAAGGACTATGGATTTGATTCATAGTTCTTATGTTTATTGAAAACTTTTTTGGTTCATAACCCTCCACCACACCCACCGTCCCATCCATCACCCACAGTCTTTATTGATGCTTTGATTATACAGAAAAATGCTTTAGTTATTACCAAAGATACTAGAAATACAAGATAGAATTCTCGCATTGTAAAAATGAGGCGGAGGTCGTGCCCAACGTAGGCGGCGCCCTTCTTTTTAACCATGCAAGTTTCCTATACTTCGTGCCCAACGTACAGGGCGCCCTTCTGTTGCTAAGTATATCCAGACGCAAAAGGCGCCCTTCCTTTTCCACTAATGGAGGAGAACTTTTTCACTAAGAGTGCATCCGGCCATGCGATCCAGATTAAGTAAAAAAAATTAGCTTTATTATTCTAATTAGAGACTAAAAAGCGGATATAGGCTATGCTAGGTAGGTAGACCATGGAAATCCCGGTCCAGAAAGTGGTCTTAAGTAATTAGAGTTAGACCTGTATTAATATTATTAAATTTCCTTTACCAAAAGAGCTCCATTTTCACGTCATTCATAAATAACTAACTGCATACAATACTAGCGTTATTATACGAACGAGTAATATTTAGTACTTTTTTCATTATTTTAGGCTAGTCTAATTATTTATTTATTTTTCTTCTATATCTTTGCTACGCAAGTCTATAGGCCTATGCTAATTCATATGTCAAGTTTAAAAAAAACAATATGTTAATATATATTTATAATATATATAGCTAATTTTTTGTTTAATGTCAGTGCAATATTTCCTTTCTCTATCCTTTGGAAATCGATATAAATTATGACCCTGTTTGTATGATGTGTTGCAATTTACTGCACAGCAACGCCCTCCAATATCGTACGTCGCCATAGCGCATCGCGGTGTACAATTTTTTAATTGAGAATTGATAATAAAATACGCGACGACTTGGTAACGAAAGTTTGGCACAAGTTTTTTTTAGATCCAGCTGTTGGGGGCGTCCCATTGTTCGTATTCCCACCATGCATTTCGGTGGAACACGGTGGAACACTTTTTTTGTGTGGAGAACTCTATCTTGTATTTCTAGTATCTTTGTTATTACCTGATCGTTTCCAAGAATCCTAAAATGATGGGTTTCCTGAATCAAGGAATTCTCACAGCCAGCTGAAGTAAAAATGAGACAGTGTATCAGGCTCCTAGGCTTCAACATTACTCGAGAAATGGTCAAAAAATTTACAAGAACTACAAGAACAAACTAATACTTCATATTTGCTTATTGTATTTGTAACAAGGCTCTGAAAACACATACAGGAGGTTATCATGTATTTTAGTCATAAATTTGTTTTTAATGGAAAAGCAGAAAGACTACAGAAAAGGTGGAGTTACTGTACAAGATTACAGAAAAGGTGCAGTAACAATACAAGATGGAGAGGTTCCTTATCCCTAAAAATAGTTATTTTTTATTCAACATTTAATACGAAGTATTTTCTACTAATATGCTTACCCCATCAGTATTACGTATAAATGTATGTACATCTTATATTATACACACTATTTAAAAAGGTCAGTGACTACAAAATAGAACTACTGCATGTATTAAAAATAATTAAATAAAGTACATGGCTTACGAAGTAGAATTTCGTGAGCCTGAGAAAAGAGTGCTGGTGGTTCACAAGCGCTAGCTGGGAAGGTAAGCATTTTAGTCACAAAGTCATGGCTTCAGGTGCTTCACAAGCACACTGGGCTAGCTGGGGAGGTAAGCATTTTAATCACAAAGTCATGGCTTCAGATTGGTTTACTAACCTGGACAAGGAAGTGAATACCCAATTTGGTTGTGTTGGATGAACTGCCGTTCATTCAGTTTGGTTTCGCAGTAAAGTTTGAAGCACTCTAAACAGATCACATGGCCCAACTCACAAGGGAAGACGAGGACAGGGTCGCTGAGGATAAAGAAATGATAGATTAATTAGCACAAGGGTGCATTAGTTGGTTATTTAAGAACAAACAAACAAAACTTTGTATATTTTTTGCCATTAGACTACAACATTATTAGAATAACAAAAACAAAGCGGAGCTGGTAGGGCTGCATGCGATTCAATTCCCTGTCACAATTCACACAATATTTATGGTAAGGTGGTGTGGTAAGTAATCGGTGACTTGCCTGACACTAGGATATCTACACTTACAATACATGTTCACATGCTAAGCATGGTACATCTTTTGTGTTGGTTTTTACAAGGTGTAAAGCTGGGACACGGTCATCTTCTTTGGTTTGGTGTTCTGCACACTTGAAATAGAATTCCTGGGGGAAAATATTTTGGAGTAAGAATAAGTAATGACAGAATCATAGCAATAATGTAAAAAATAAATATGCTTCTTATTGTTTTCCTTGGTGGATCCAGATTTTTTTCAAAAGGGGGGGGGGGGGAAGGATAAAATAGATTAATATTAGCTCAAGGGTGTATTAGTTGGTTATTTAAGAACAAACAGAAGATGGTATATGTGTTGACCTTCTCTACCATTAGACTACAACAAAGAATAACAAATAAAAGGGACACAACATTTTCACAATAGATAATTGAGTAGCGCTTCTTTCAATACATAACATTGATATAAGTACTACAGTGTTACGTAACGATACCATGTGACACTACTCCATTGCTATCGTTGCAAAAAGCGTTCAACCGGATGCCATTTTCTTCAATGATAAACCATTGATCCCAATTTCAAACGTAATTATTAGGATGTTGTATCTTACTTTTTCTTTGTAAATTGATGATTAAATGTGTGTTTGATAACTAATATAATGCGAGCTTTTGTGTTTTTAGTACATTTTGATGGTAAAATATTAGATTTTAAAATGCCTATTCCAGAAAGCCTATGAAATCATTCAGGCATAATGGACGGTATACATGGGTACCTGGTGGGGTTGCCTGTCCTGAGCTGATTACAGCAGCAACAGTTAAGCATGTAGACCCAATGACCGGTGCCAAAAGCGCTTTGTATCTGCAAAGATGAGCGCTTATAAATAACTGAATACGAATATGTCAACTTGGATGCCTGTCTGGATTAAGAGTGATTTCATGCCTGACATGAGACAAGTCAGGCTAAGCTCCAACTACAAATTTCTCAACTGGACTGAGTCAATCCTGACTTAAATTTTTGGTAAGACACCAGCCAATGATTTTGCAAAGGATTCAAGCTCAGCCTTTAATGCTGCGAGTATAAACCAAAACTCATGTGCCAAATGCTCCTTAAGTTCTAAATTACTTACTGACTGGTCTCCAGAGCAACCATTTGATTGACAGCTGCCTGCAATTTTTCCAGGAGTGAGAACATCCTCCCAACATGTAGCATCCTGAAATGTGTAGCAAAGTTTCAAATGTTTTTCAACTTTATTATAATATAAAATGTAACATACACAAAGAATCAAGTAATGATTACATATTTCTAAATGAGTATCACTATGATCGGAATGTATAAATAATGAACATTTATCTTTGTGCTTAAATCTATTCTTGCAGAACTATAAATAAATTCACGAAACAACTATAGAAAAAGTTTCTGAAACTACAGACTAAAATTATAAACTGAATTACTGTCTTGTGATACAAAAATCTATTATAATAATTATGCAAACGTCACCTGCAAGACGGTAAATGCTCCCATTTTACATTTGCGACAACAGACTCGAAGCTTTCCTCTTGTGACTACTCCACAGGTCTCTTTACAGAATACGTAAAAGCACGGTTTTCTCTTTGAAGAAGAATGTTCTGTATCATAAAAACAAAGCAAAATAAAATAAACAATGAGTAATAGTTCTGGTTGTATGAATATACACAGTAAGGAAGCTTTCGGATGGAGCTCACAAAAATATAGACGTTACTGGCAAGAAACAAGAATGTTAAAACAGATAATATACAGAACTAATGTGCAGGGATATTCACAAAATTATACAAAATAAGATGAATTATATTTTAACAGTAAAAAATGTGAATGTAGGCTTATACAGTAGGTAAGTAAAAAATGATGATGAATTATGTTGAGAAATGACTATGGCAGAGAATAATGTTGATGATAATTTTGCGGATAACAATGACATGGTATATGATTGGCAGGCAAATAACATGCTGCTGACAATGAGTCATACTGAAAATTATGAAGATGATGATGATGATGAAAATAATGATGAAGGTTTGACAACGACAATAATGACAATGATAACGATGATGAAGATAATGATGATGTAATTATAAATTTAAACTGATAGTGATCATTAACATGTGCACTCTGATGCTGATGCCAATGATGCTGTAGATGATATGATGGTGTACCTGTTTGATAAATGATAATACAGAAATGAATATGATACTGCCGCAGACCATATTACCATGATTTAAAACTTAAATGTATTAATGACCGGATGTAATTCATCATATTGATGACTATTTGGCAAACTTCAAAATAATTAATCAATAAATGTAATTGTACCTATAGTTTGAGTCTTTGTATGGACCTTTGATGTAACTTCTAAATCTGAGAGACTTGTTAAAAGAGATGAGTAACTATGTGTATCTGACTCTCGTTCAGGGTCTTTGTCAGTGCTTAGGGGACCTGGTCTCTTTACCACAACATGTATTATGCTTCCATCTGGGATGTCACAGTCCTGTAAAAATGAGATAATTCAATTTGGATGTACTTAATTGTTGATTTTGTTAACCACCCCGTTAAAACCACCTACCAAGATTGATATACAGTAGATGATTATAAATATATGAATAAATAAGAAAATTGGTATATGGTTTTATGGGCTGACTGTATGTGTTAGAAAACAGTTTAATTACTTGGAAAGTCAACTATGTTATTTAAATTAGGGAGGTACGCCTCCCTGATTGATGGAATAAAGCTAATACAGGTATATCGAAATGCTCATTATTAATCAAACAACCTTTGGTTGGAATAGGCATACCTATTCTTTGTTAATATGCATTTGGAAATTTATGTAAGCCTGAGACAAACGTTTAATTTTAATTTGATTATTTACTTCTATTCTCCATTATTATTTGTTCTGTATTTCTGCTCATTTGATATGGATATTGTATGAAGAAACAAAAAAAAGAGAATTGAATATGAACAAAGAATATTGTAATTTATTGTATTTTTATAGTATTTCTAGCAAATTATCATAGACCATAATATACTACCTTAACAGTTAACGAGTCCAACAACTCTACCCCTGCAAATATTACTCGTATAGCACCATGTTCACCTAGGCCTAGGCCTGGTTGAACAGGCCCAGGATTTTGTTGACTAAGGCTAATCGCCTTCTTGATGACGGCCTGTTTCAATTCAGCAACAGTCCAATCTTCATTTACATTCAATGACAACTTCTCTCCATCGGTCAACCTCATAAACAGATGATACATATTTTTCGAAATACACTTCCAAAATTTAATCTATAATAAATACAACTACTGAAACTTGGACTAGGACTACTGTTGTAATTTAGAAACTGAAATAGCCAACACCAGACGACTAGGCCTCTAACATAGGATATCTTGTTTACACATGTGCAATCGATGTTGTTTTGAAAGAGCGCCCTCTCTGAAGCAGTCACGTCAAATAAACTTCGACACGTCCACTATAGACTACTATAATAGCCATAGAAAAAAATATATAAATTATAATTCCACACGCTTTTTATCATCATCATCACCATCATCATCGTCGTCGTCATCATCACCATCACCATCGTCGTCTTCATCCTCATCATACATCAGATGATGTCATCCAATCAATGCTGTAGTCAGGATTTTCAAAGGGTGTGAGACAATATCAGAGTGGACCCACTTTACGCGTAAATACAAATAATGTGCACTTATTTTCTTAAAAGTTGGCCCATTTTAAGTAAAAATATGAAAAATCTGAACCCATTTTTAAAAATGTTTACCCATTTTAAGCTAAATATAAGAAATCTGGACCCATTTTTCGAAAGTGGACTCATTTTATGCATAAAACCCCATAATTTTGACCCATTCTTTAAAATGTGGACCCATTCTTTGTGGTCCCATTAGAAAAATTGTGCGGGACTGTCCCAACAGCTGGCTGTGGCATTGCATCCAATCCAATATAAGGTGCATTATACCTGAGACAACTTGTATAGTTCTCAAATTATAATATGTCTCTTATTTATGCGCTGGGACAAAAAAACAAAACAAAACAAAACAAAACAAAACAAAAGAACAGAATACGGTGCATATAGAAGAAAAGAAAAGAAAAAGAGATCACCATTACTATCATCATCACCATTATCATATCATCATTATCGTCACCAACTCAGGGTCTGTCTCTTATACACATCTAGATGTGTATAAGAGACAGGAATATGTGAGTGTATAAAACTATGAAAAATATGAAGAAAAAAAC